TGAGCTGCATCCCCACAGCACTGTCTGCTGACATAGCCCTTGCACACCTAGGTTTTCAACAGATTCCACTTGGGTCAGTGTCTCCTCCTTGGAGGGCTGGAGGAAGGAACAGCTCTGCTAGTCAGGGGCCAGGAGAGAGCATCTGATGATCTGAGCAGACTGAACTTAACTCTGGGCTCCTGCATCAAAGCTGCTGTGCTTCTGTTAAACTGCTCTACTGGTGGCGAGGAAACATACCTGGAATGCTCCCCCTTGAGCTAGTTAAATATAAAATATGCTGCCTTCTCTGAGGAGGTTCCTGAGCTGACCTACAAGCTACTCTCCTGCCTGATGTGTTCTGGAGAGGTGTCTTGTCCTGTTCTTAAACTCTTTCCTGGGCATCCCTCCACTGTTGCATTCCAATAGACCCAGGCCAGGCAGATCTTTCTTTTGTTCTTTTGAGCCGGTCCAACCCTTGTTAATGGAAGGTACTGGGATGATGAGCTGGTCACAGGTCAGCTCCTCTGCCTTTAGCAGAAAGCTGGGAAGTTGGATCTGTCACCATTTGCTCAGCAGCTGCTCTATAGGAGGTGCAGTGCAACTGAAGCCCTTGTGACACCTCTTGCCTTAACAATGGCATGTAGTGCAAAATATCACTATATGTTGCATTCCTCCAGTATCTGAGGTCATACTATGATGTCCTGCTTTCTGGGTGAGTACCTGATAATTGATTCTCCTTGCTACAAAATCCAAAAGAGAGAAAGAAGGCAGAACTGAAGGAGATACAGGACAATTACTTCAGAAAGCTGTCTCTCTTCATGTAAAAGGGAAGACCAGGTCAGACAGTAACCTGAGAGAATTGGCTTTTGCTCTAGGGTCCTGCTCAGAGTTTCTGAGTACATTAAATGTGAGAACTAACGTGTTATATTTTTGTCCTCTCTGCATCCCACTTCTCCCTCAGCCAAAGTCCTGTTTTGATGTTTGCTACATTTCCAGGTCGGTAGCAGAAAGTACAAAGTGTTAAAGTTCAGGTCTCAAAATGTTTTGTTCATCGCAGACCATAAGGGAGAGTGCTGGATGGCTTCTATTCAGTCCTTGGCCTTAGTGAGACCTTCATCTTATTTATTTTGACTTGGGCATCCATATTTATCTATAATACACTGGGAAAAGTTTGTGGTTGTTTTCCCCCCCAAATATTTAAATACTACTTTGAATTACTTGAGATGTGAGTTATGCTTCACTTACAGGAACAGTTAAAGACATTTTTTTCACCCCTACGCAATCCAGCACCATGCAGAAACAGAGCCAGCTTTGAACAAGCAAGTCTCTGTGTAGACTGAACTGCCTGTGAGGCGTTGTCATGGGCATCTGTTGGTACTGTGGCTGCTACCCAAAGCAGCAAGGGAGGTGCCATGCAGTCTGACCTCAGACACATACCACAGAATGGTCAGGGCTGGAGAGGACCTCTGGAGATCATCCAGTCCAACCCCCCTGCCAAACCAGGTTCATCTACAGCAAGTTGCACAGGATCGTGTCCAGGCAGATTTTGAATATCTCCAGAGAAGGAGACTCCACAACTTCTCCGGGCAGCCTGTGCCAGTGCTCTGCCACCCTCAAAGTACAGAAGTTTTTCCTCATATTCAGATGGAACTTCCCATGTTTCAGTTTGTGCCCGTGGCCCCTTAACCTGTTACTGGGCACCACTGAAAAGAGTCTGGCCCCATCCTCTTGACACCCACCCTCAAGATATTTATAAACATTGATGGGATCCCCCTCTTAGTCTTCTCTTCTCCAGACTGAACAGACCCGGTTCCCTCAACCTTTCCTCATCACGGAGATGCTCCAGTCCCCTCATCATCTTCATTGCCCTCTGCTGGATTCTCTCCAGTAGTTCCTTGTCTTTCTTGAACTGGAGAGCGCAGAACTGGACCCAGTACTCCAGATGTGACCTCACCAGGGTAGAGTAGAGGAGGAGAACCTCCCTCGACCTGCTGGCCACACTCTTCCTCACGCACCCCAAGATACCACTGGCCTTCTTGGCCACGAGGGCACATTGCTGGCTCATGGGCAACTTGTTGTCCACCAGCACTCCCAGATCCTTCTCTGCCAGGCTGCTCTTCAGCAGGTCAACCCCCAGCCTGTACTGGTGCATGGGGTTATTCCTTCCTAGGTGCAGGACCCTACGCTTGCCTTTGTTGAACTTCATCAGGTTCCTCTCCGCGCAGCTCTCTGGCCTGTCCAGGTCTCACTGAATGGTAGCGCAGCCTTGTGATGTATCAGTCGCTCCTCCCAGTTTTGTATCATCTGCAGACTTGCTGAGGTACGCTCTGTCCCTTCATCCAGGTCACTGATGAATAAGTTAAACAACTAACTTGATCTGTAGCTTATCCAGCAGGGAGGTGATTTCATAAGAGGTGTAAGCTTCTTTTCTATGGGGAAGGCAGTTCTGAGCTTAGCTCTTCAGGTAGGCAGACAGTGACGAGCTGGAAGGCAGAAATCAGGCTGGAGGTGCAGACTTTTAAAGTAGAAATGAGGTGTTTGTCTCTAACAGACAAGGTACTGCACTGTGGTAGCAAGTTGACATAGTGCATTAGAATCTCAGTCACAAACAGCATTTGAGTCATGTCTTTTTTTGAAAAGGGCTTCATTTCAGCACATTGCAAACTAGGGATTTAATGCAGAATTGAGTCAATAGAGGCTCTAACGCTCTTCTGATGGTATCAAAATAATTGCTCTAGTCTTCTTTACCTAACGCTCTTCTGACAGTATCAAAATAATTGCTCTAGTCTTCTTTAGCTTAAATTTCATTCCTTTCCCAAATTACTTCTGTAAAAATGAAGTGGGCGAGACAGGAGGAAGGTGATGTGCCTGTGGTAAAGCTAGCAGTTCGCACATGTCAAGATTCCGCACCCTTGGCTAAACTTTCTGTTGGCTGTGATCCTCAAAGAGCTAGCAGCATCTGTAAATCCAGTTCTTCCCAGTAGCCAGAAACATTCCATTTGCCACCTCTTTAGAGACACTCAAGCCCCTGGTGAAAATCTGATTAAAGCCAGGGCATGCCAAAGCTAGCATTGTGGGTTTTGCTCTTTGTTGCTCCTCACTGTATGCTCTACGTGTCTTTGCTTGCTTCTAGGAATTGGGCTGGCCTTGGCTGCAGCAGTGAAGGGTTACCGCTGTATCATTGTGATGCCAGAGAAAATGAGCATGGAGAAGGTCAGATCTCCTTTTATTTTCAAGAATTTCAAAACAAGAATGTTCGCACTTGCAGAGTTCCTGGTGCAGATGAGTGCTGTGGCTTTAGCAACAAAGGTGTAGGCTATTGGTCTCCAAGTCATCGGCCAGGCAGAACTTTGCTGAGGGGCTGTTGGCGGTGCTCAGAGAAATCCAGGCTGGCTAGCCATGGACTGAAAATGTCTTTGAGACTCATCCCCACAGCATTGTCACTTGGAAAATGGTCATAACTGGTTTAAATACAAATTTCAAGGAAACTTGAGATTTACCTAGCACATTGAAGTGACTTCCCATCCGTGAGTTAGCTGTGCCTCCCTGAGCAAAGGAGGACTAAGGAAGGCAATGCTGAAGCTTTGAATATTCTTCTGTTCTGCACTGGGCTGAGCAAGGCTGTGAGGGAGCCTGTTGAGCTCCCCAAGTTACACTGCCGGGTACTGGTAAGCATCTGAGTTGTGTCACCACAACAAAGGGGAAGGAAAAGCCACCTGGGTGACGTCCACTTACCTTCACTGTGGAAAACACAAAACATCTAGCTCTAGAGCAAGCCCTCTCCTGTGGTGCTGCACCTGCAGCCAAAAGAAAAAAAGAGAGAAAAGATCCCCTGTGTTTCACAATTGAGGCAGCAAATTTTTGTCAGCAAAACCACTTATCTCAGTTCAAATACTTCCAGTGTTCCAACTGAAGAGCAATGGCACAAATGAGAACAATGTCCCTTGAAGACCTGTACCTGTTGCTTGCTCTTCCTTGCTCTGGAGGGAGAGGTACCGCATGGCCATTGCCGTGTGCCAGGCAGCGCCGAAGGCCTCCTTCCCCTCTGAAGACAGGCTTTGCCTTAGCTCAGTGTCATAAGCTTTGGTGCCCTTGTAGCAGTTGAATGGTGTATAGGACCCTGGAGGATCTCCTTTGCTGCCTGTGTAAATATACATAATTTGCACTTAAACATAAAATACTGGGCTTTAGCACTGTTGGAGTGCGGAACATATGTGAATAGCATGAGAGGAGATGGTGTTTTGCCTGAATGAGGCTTCTCAGTGTGTCGTAATAATCCCTACAGGCCTAAAGGCCTAGACTAGAAACAGAAATTTGACATCTAGCTCCCAAGTAAAGCTTAGTTAAGACCAAATGACATGAAGGATTTGGACCCATGGCTCAGCGATGAGGCTGGGGTTTAGGAGATCTGCTAAGGAGGCTATTGCAGATCAGGTAAAAGGGAAGATGTTTTCTTTCCGCTGCATCCCAGTGAAGTCTCTGTGCTGGGAGTGTGTTTTGGGGTTTTGTGACCACCTTTATTTGCTACAGGTGGATGTCCTGAGAGCTCTGGGTGCTGAGATTGTGAGAACCCCAACTACTGCCAGATTTGATTCTCCTGAATCTCACGTGGGAGTAGCATGGAGGCTGAAAAACGAAATCCCCAATGCACACATACTGGACCAGGTAAGAGCCAAGAGGTCAGAGGTGCAAGTGTAGCACGGGAGGAGGTATTGCAGCCTTGTTCCTTAGTGTCCTTGGTTGACTGTTCAACACCCTACATGTGTCTCTGGAGGAGAAGATGTCCCAGGCCTGGAGCTGTAGTTGAGCAATCACCATACTGTAGTTTTTATGGTCAGTAGAGGGAAGCAACGAGCCTGGGTTTACAGAAACTGCAAAGCACCGGGGTGGCTTTTTCCACTGAACTGGCACTCCTCTGCGGAATGAATGGGTACAAGGGCTGTGTTCCTAAAAGAAACTGTCCCAAAGATAGGACTGGCATTGGAGGGTCCTGACACCTGAGAGCTACTCTTACAATCCTCCTAAGGGACCTAATTTATCTCCCCTTGGGCGTTCTGCCTAGGTCCAGATAATAGATAAAGAAACAGTCTGGAAAGAGTATATGTAGCTGTTGTGAGGCTTGGAGAATGTTTTTCATGTTCTTGAAATGCCTCGCACTGAATTTAGTCTTTCTGGTCTACTTAATGGCTATTCTGTCTTTCAATATAGTACCGTAATGCCAGCAACCCCCTGACGCACTATGACACCACAGCTGAAGAGATCCTGCAGCAATGTGAAGGTATGTTCGTTCTACTGTTAACTCCCTCTTCAATGAGTCCCTAATATTCTCTTATTGTTAGGTACTTGGAGAATGAGACCTGAGGTAGATGAGTAATGCATGGATTTTGATACAGCAAATCCCATACATACGCTGTGTGTCATTAGACAATTACCTTATTTCAGTAGTTGTAGTAGTTTAAATGTGTTGGTGTTTTTTTTTTTCCATTAAAGAAGAATGCTTTGGTTTTTAGACTCTTCTGCTTGTGATCAGGTGGAGAAAGCAGTAATGCTTAAGTTATCTTTAAAAAAAAACAGACAAAAAAACCCATAGGTGAACTGATATGAAAGAATAGGTACACTTTTCTCTGATCACAAACACAGAAATAGGTATTTTTACATTCTCAGACCAAATACTCCAATATACTGGAAACTCCTTCACTGAGAAGTCCTCAGGAGCACGAACTGCTCTGCGTTGCAGTTGTCACCAGTAAGACCTTTTTACTCTGCAGCAGTCATTTCAATGTTAGCTCTAGGCAGCTGAGTTGGAGTACCAGAAGTGATTGAGCTGTGGCAGCAGAGAGCTTTAGCTGAGCTAACTCACCTGGCCGAGGAGTTTCTGCTGCGACCCTCTACTAAGAAAATCAGCTATTAAATTCCTTCTCATTAAGGTGAGGACCACGTGAAGGGTTCTCCTCCTTGCCCCCCAAAAGTAACTCTGGCTGTTCAGAGGATTTGACTTGTCTTTCTGTGGCAAACTTTAAGTTTGAGTTAAAATGAGTGTACTTTAACAAGCTACTGTCCCACAAACTGAGAGTCTAGATCAGTTCTGGCTTTAGGCTTCTTGTTCGGAGGACCACCTGAAGGGTTCTCCTCCCTGCCCCCCAAAAGTAACTCTAGCTGTTCAGAGGATTTGGCTTGTCTTTCTGTGGCAAACTTTCTTTAAGTTTGAGTTAAAATGAGTATACTTTAACAAGCTACTGTCCCACAAACTGAGAGTCTAGATGAGTTCTGGCTTTAGGCTTCTTGTTCGTATTTACTTTTCCTCATAAGCCAGGCACTGTTCAGTTACCCGTGCTTGGTGGGGTGGTATTCTTTTGACTGGTAAGCATTTGGTTTTGTGTGTGAATTGGTGACCTTTTAAAACTTTTTTTTAACAAAGCTGTCATGTGGATGCACTGGGGAAACTGTAGGTGGTGACAGAAGGATGAACTATCATACCTGCACTTGCTCTAAGTGCTCATGACCAAAACAGTCTATTTCACATGAAAATGAGAGAGTAGTTGTGTTAACAGTTCTCTCAATGGATGCCTATCCCATACTCTTGGCACTCATTCAGTAAATTAACTAATATAATGGGCTGCTCATTTTAAGTTGGAGAATTAATTATCTGCGTGAGCAAATACAGTAACAGGAAAACTACAGGTGTGAGCTCTATGGGCCACCTCCAGCGGTGTCCAAAGTACAGCAGATTGGTGCCTTGTCAGGCCACTGGACGGACATTTCAAAACCATTGTTGAAGTAAAGGAGGATTGAGCAAGGTGGTCTCAAGGTAGGTCTCATAACAGCTCTTGGGAAGCAAAGAGCCTTGCCCTTTTCTGCCACTTTCTGTGTTTTTGTTGAAGCAAGTCCATACTTAGATGTAAGTGGGTTTTCAATCCATCATTTCGGGGGGAGATTTCACAACTGCCTTCTATCCCTCTCCCTTAAACAGGAAAAATAGACATGCTAGTGGCTACAGCTGGCACAGGAGGTACTATCACTGGCCTCTCTAGAAAGCTAAAGGAGAAGTGTCCAGGTTGCAAAGTAAGTGGCAAGCCTAAAGCGTTTCTCTTCAGCGGGGTGAACCTCAGACTTCTCTATTTGGCACGTGGGTCTCTATGGGAAGCTCTTAGAAAATTCTCAGTTAGAAGGTGGTTTTGAGCAGACTGTCTGAAATCATCATGCTCTGGTCTCACTTGTGACCAGAGTTCAGGTTTGGCTCAGCAGATGAAAACTGGCCCTTGGATCCCTTTATGGGGTGCCTGAGAAGCTTCTTTCTCTGGTGTGTACTGCAGCCTTGTGTTTCCTCTCTGATTGTACCTTCGCTCACTTGTCTGGAGCTGCTGAGGTTTTACCCAGTGAAATTTTCTATGCACACACCAACCTGTGTGTCTACCTGTGTGCCATGTTAGATTTCCTCACAGAAGTTGGAATTGTGTTTCAATTGTGAGTATTTTCCTACGTAGGCAGGGAGTGGTAAACAAAATAAAACTTACCTGCTTACGCTTGGCACAAAATGTATTGGCTGTAATGATGCCTGACATGTGAATGAGGACAATCGTGTTTCTGTTTAAACCAAGGAAAACCCATGTAGAACAAGTGGTGCCCCTCACTTAGTGTCCACAGCCTGTGGAGACAGGATGGGTTGCCAAGGGGCCAGAAGCAGCAAAGCATTTTGCTCACAGGGGAGGTGAAGGTTGCCAGGAAGAAATGAATAGGAGACTAGGTTGCTGTTAGCTTGGCTGTGTGTGCAGCCAGTGTGACACCAAGAGCTGTAATGAGGCCAGCGCTCATAAGTAAATAGCCATGTTGTCAAAAGCAGTGTGTTGTGGTAGCCAAAGTGGAAACTGCTTCTCCAGATTATAGGTGTTGATCCTGAAGGCTCCATCCTTGCTACACCAGAAGAACTGAACAAGACTGACAAGACAATGTATGAAGTGGAAGGAATCGGATATGATTTTGTCCCCACGGTGTTGGATAGATCTGTAAGTCATGTTTCTTGGTTTACTGCTCTTTGCCCTCTGAGATGCAGACGTGAGGTGAAAGGTGGAGGAAAAACTTGGGGAAGTATTTCTTTGAGCTGAAGGGGAAGGGCTAGCAGACAGAACAATTCCTGTTCTTTCCATCAGCAAAAGCAGTCCCGGAAGGCTTCTGCACTGGCCACATTTGTTTTACAATGCTAGGTTGAAATGCTGTGAGCAGATAACATTTTCCTAGAACACAGTACTACTTTTTTTTTTTTCTTTTAAAAAAACCTACCAACCAAACAACAACAAAAAACCCAAACAAACAAAAAACCCAAACCCCAGCCAATCGAAAAAACCAAACGAACGACTCGAACAAAGCACCCCAACACATCCTGGCCAAAAGTGGTATGACTATGTCCTGAGCAGAGCCCCTGGGAAGCCCTCCAAGAGGGGAGGAAACTGATGCTCTCTGTGGCTGTCTCACAACAGCGTGTTCTCACAGCAAGGTTTCAATAAGGAGCCTGTTGTGCTAATGTGATCGTCTTGCCTTGGCAAAAAAAACCCACTTGGCATTTGGAGGATGGAAACCTGGGCACATGGCTCAGTAGGGCAGCTGTTACCTCAAAGAGCATGGGTTGAATTCACACTGGTTGTGTAGCTCCCCTAGCCCTCCTCATTTAAATAGACCCTTGTTTCTGTCTTCCTGCCCTTTCCCAGGTAGTGGACCAGTGGTACAAGAGCAATGATGAGGAGTCGTTTGCTTTAGCACGCATGATGATCCGAGAGGAAGGACTGCTGTGCGGTAAGACCAGACGCAAATCCTCTGGGTATCTCTGAATAGCATGTGGGAGGCTGAAGCCTTATGCAGATCAGGGAGACCTCCTTCCACTTCAGAAGCTGTCTTCCTCACCTTGAGCTCCTCTGCTGTCTCTCTTCTTCTCTTTCTTTCATTCTCATTTCACTTACAGTTTGACAGTTTTGCCTCTGATCTGTATTTTGGCAGGTGGCAGCTCAGGCAGTGCCATGTCTGTAGCTGTGAAGGCAGCCAAAGAGCTGAAGGAAGGTCAGCGCTGTGTTGTTATCCTCCCTGACTCTATCAGGAACTACATGTAAGAACCTGCTTGTTTTCTATCTGAGAAAAGGGTGAGGCCATTCCTCAGTCTTCCTTACAGCAGCAGCGAGTTGAATACATAGTTCTTACAGCACTCAGTTACCCAAGCAAGGAAAGTGTTTGGGGCACAACTTCTGAGGTATCTAGAAAGGGTCCATTTATTGGGGACCATTGGTATTATCCTGTTCCTGGAAGGGTCCCTGTAAGGCCGTCTGCTCTCTCTGCCTGTGCCCGCAGCGGAACACAGCATTACTGTAGCAGCAGCCAGTGTTGGGGTGAGTTTACAGGCGGGAGTGTGAGGGCTCTGAGCTGTGCTGAAGAGTTTCTCTCCTACCGCATTGAAACATATCCCCAAACATGATGTTTTTAGCTGTGTTTCCTGACTTCTGTTGCATCCAACACAATACTAGATGACTAAAAACTGCAGACAGGCCTTGCCTGAGTACAGATTGGCACTCCTCTGTTTCAGGCTGTGTCTCTGTCGTATTGCAAGGGACTGATGTAGGTGAAACTTCTGTTTCCTATGGGATTCCTTTTTCTTCCTATGAGCCTTTCTTCAATGTCCCTGGCTGGTAAGCGTGGATGACAAATGGCAGTGTATTTTCATTTACGCTTTAGCTGTTAGTGGTAGTGAGCTGTAAACGGTCGCCTATGTGTGCTGTTAGGTTTGCGGTCAGATGTTCAGCCTGCTAATGAGCTTTTCACTTTCTGATGCTTTCCAGGTCCAAGTTCTTGAGTGACAAATGGATGATTCAGAAAGGGTTTATGAAAGATGACCTTGTCAAAAAACCTTGGTAAGCATCTCAGATCCATTTGGATTATCATGAGTCTATTCAATTGACTTTAAGGCAGTTGCTAATTTAAAGCTCATTTCAATCTACACTACTTCCTTTGATTTAGCTAATCTTTCATGCTGTTGTGTTGATGTATAATTGCAGATATTCATTAAATCTGCTTAATTGATTGATTTCCTTTATTCAATTAGCAACTGCCTTAAAGTCAATTTAAAGCTCATTTCAATCTACACTACTTCCTTTGATTTAGCTAATCTTTCATGCTGTTGTGTTGATGTATAATTGCAGATATTCATTAAATCTGCTTAATTGATTGATTTCCTTCTTTGAGTTGCATGGCAACAGAAAAGAACTTGGTGCTTATGATTATTTTTTTTTTTTAAATGAAGAGAGTTTTATCTAAAATGAAAAAGTAGTATACAGAGAACCCTTCCGAGATCACGGATCTTGAGTGCAAAGCACTGCATGTCTACATATGTGGAAGGGGATCTTCCCTAAATTGCTACCTATAATGACCGTAAATACGGCTAGCTCTTTGAGTAGCAACACAAAATTTTCTATGTAAGATACAAATAATGAAACTAGGGAGATTAGTACTCTTCACTAACTATCTGTAATCCTAGAAAGCAGATGAAATGAGGAAAAAGGTTTCGATCTTAAAGCCTTCTCACGCTTCAGTGACTTTCTAATATTGGGGAGAAAACTTGAAAGCCTTGAAGCTTTACTGACTCTGGCTGAATCCTGACTCTTCCTTGCAGCCTTTTGTCATTCCTGTAGTGTTGATGGCCCCTGTACATGAGCAACTGGTTCTCTTCTCTCCGTAAGACTTGCATGGGTTTGTTTTTTATTTCATCCTCAGGTGGTGGAACATCAGTGTTCAGGAACTAAGCCTCTCTGCTCCCCTGACTGTGCTTCCAACTGTTACCTGTGCAAAGACTGTTGAAATTCTCCGGGAGAAGGGATTCGACCAGGTACCAGTTGTTGATGAATCTGGGTATGTCCACATATATCACTATTCATTCATATGAATCACTTCCCTCACCAGATCCCAAGGGATGTCTTTTAAATGCTTACCAGAAGTATAATATCCTCTCACTCAGCTTTCTTCTGTTATAGTAACACAGTTCACAAATGTTACCTTAAACATACTGATTCCGGACTTAATATGTTGTCATGCCAGGATTGTCCTGCCCTTCACATAATAATCTTCTAATGATTATTACTATATATTTAGTCTATCTCTGCAGGATAATTTAATTGGTTTTTATAATAGCTGTTTAACAAAGTAGAAATTTGTATTTAAAAAAAACAACCCGAAACCTACACATCTCCATCACAGCTTTCACCCAGTTTCTTCAGAACACTGCACTATAGTGCAATGTTGTCGTGACCCCTATAAACCAGGGTGTCCCCAGCAAGCTGGTATGCCTTATTACCTGTAGGTTTCCTGTAGGACAGGCTGAATAATGGAGAGTTGCTCAGTTACTCTCCGGTTACGGTGCGAACTGAAGGGATTAATTGTTGCAGATCCTTGTAGGTAGAAGGGGAGTGAGCAAAACTGAGGTGCGTTTGTCTCTGGCCATCACACTCTTGAAAAGGACAGATGAGGGTATAAAACAATGAAGTTGTGCTTTTTCAAAAGCTCGCTCAGATTGCAAGCAACTCTCCAGTTGCAAGGACTAGAGTTACAAAGAGCCTGATGCTCAGAAGGGCCAGGCACCCACAGTGCCTGCTGACTCTTCTGTATGAGTCTCCAGAACTTCTGAGAACTGGACTCTGTCTCCTGCAGAGACACAGAATCCAAACATACCGTCAATAAAGTTGCTTTATGCCATGAAGTAGTTGACCCAATTTCTCCAGGCTGGCTGAGAGTGGATGATTTTAGCTACAAGAACACCTGAGGTTTTTGTGTTGTGTAGCCCTATCTTCTCTCTCTCCTTCCCCAGGGTGATTTTGGGCATGGTTACCCTGGGTAACATGCTTTCTTCACTACTTGCTGGAAAAGTTCAGCCTTCTGATGAAGTCAGCAAAGTAATCTACAAGCAATTTAAACAGGTAAGTAGGTATATTCTACAACACCTACTTCTCTGGTTTAAAGTACTGCTGTAGGTGTTCTAATACTACAGTGGCATCAGGTTGAGTAATGTTTACCTGGGACCATACAGAGCAGCTGTTACTGAGCGCAGACATGCTCTAAACTGTCCTAGGTCACTCACTAGCTCCCAGGTTTGTGTTGTGGCTCTTCTTGTGCCCTTCTATTACATCAGCAGGCTTTCTTCTAGCATGCTTGTCCCTTCCTCCTTCCCCCAAAACCCCGGCACAAATCTGGGCAATGTAACTATCCAGGGGAAGAGATAGGAGATGTTGAAACAGCTTTTCTAAATAATTTCTGTATTGGCTAAAAACGAGCAACTGTTTGCCTCTTGTATCAGATGCCTTGCTGAAACAGGGGGATGGCTGCTGAAAGTGGATGTCGTCAAGATATGTCAATTTTGATGTTAGCCACTTTCACCTGTCCATCCAATGTGGTGATACCACAACTTCCCAGCTGTATGGGTGCTCTTCTAAAATATATAAGTATTGTTGCTGTTGCTTTGCTTCTCTTGCAGGAAAAGGTTTTTGTTTTTAACATGGAACGCTTGACCTAGTTCTCACCAGGCTTTTAGTTTCAAAACTGTCTCATAGTAGATGAGGTGCTGTATTCCAGAAGTATATGTAATGCTTCCGATCAGTCTACAAACTACCAAGTCCCTGAGATTAAGAAAGGATGCTAGTTCTTTATAGACAAATGTAAATGTATTTTTTCCTTCCCAGACAGATAATCAAGCATCAGGTGGAAATGTGGTGCGTAACAAAACTGCTTAGTTTGTGTTTTCCCTCACTTGGACACCTTAGAGTTTCCGGGGCTGGTGGTGTACAATCATTTCTGTAGTTACACTGGTGTTAGCTGCAGTAGCCAATTCTCTGCGCTTCTGAGGTTGTGGCTTTTTTCCATGGGCAGCTTGAAGTTTCTCATGCTTCTTCAATACAGAACAGCTTAACCGTTTCTTTTCTATTTAGTTCTGACTTTTTTTTTTCTTGGTGGAGGATGGAATGGGAGTGACACAAAAGTGGTGGTATTGCTAACATGCTAACTAAAAGCATCATTCATTGGTTATTTTCCATTTGAATTGATGATTTAATGGAGAAACATGGTTAAATGCACATAACGTCAGAAGTATTGTGAATTTTACTTTTCTTACCGCTTTAGTCAAGCTTATTTGGCTTGTTTATCGGTGAAATGGGGAAAAGGGATCATCTGTGTCACTGAAATGAGTTAGGATATCCTACGGTTAGGATGTGTACAACAGCATGCATTAATAAGAGGTTGGCTTAGCCTGTGACTACTAAGGCAAAGCTATCTTTTTGGCAACACAGGAAGCTTTCTTCGATGTGATTGCCACAATTATTTTGTGGCGATCTCTTAGAATAGAAGAGCAATTGATACAGCTTTTTTAAAAGTCTCCAGTAGGATAGTACTCTAGGGCTTTGAAACTAGTCACAGGATAATTTGCCAATCCAAACAAGTGCTATGTGTTAGTGGAAAGGAGGGCCATTCTTGTGGAGTCAGATATTAGTTGCAGTGGTTTGGGGTCTCTACCCCTTCTTCTTCCCCAAAGAATCTTTGCGTCAGTTACAAATATCTGCTAGGAGTGGCGCAGACATAGTGTTAGCAGACATCTTGTCTGCCTTTACCAGAAAATAGGGCTGGGGCATGATCTCTGAGGCTTTCTTGTCTAGTGTTTAATTGTTAGTCTGTTCCTTGGTGTGATTTTGGTTAGTGTCCTAAACCATTTAGCACTCTGCTAAACACAAGGGCTGGTGTCCCCAGCATCCCTGCTGGACCAGAGCCTACTTCTGGGGAAGGAGAGAATTCAGTCGTAGGGTCATGAGCTGTGCCATGTCACTTGCCCTTACAGCCAAACAAGCAGTCCCAGTCATGTGTAGTGTAGTAGCATGTGCGTAGGCTAATTGCCTTAAAGACTTAGTAGGCTTAAAAAATGCCTAAACGTGGGAAAACTTGTGGGAAAAATTTTTAGGGAGCTTGAAAGAGCAGTAGTGAGACAAGTGAAAACTCCGTGGGAGTTCTGTTAAATTTCCATTAAGTATTTCAAAACATGTTGATGTCTTCATAGCTGTCCCCGTGCTGCCTGGGCTGCTTGTCCTGGTTATCTTTAGCCTACCTAGTCCCTGAAAACAGATCTATTGATTGTACACCGTTACATGGCAAGAGGCTCTACACCTTCAGTGAGCTTTGAACTTAGGTTCAAAAGTTAGGTTTTGCACGTACATTTGCACAAAACTGGTTGTCCGTGGTGGTGACTGATGGTTGACTTGGTGTGACAGTAGATCCAGATTTCCCCCCACCCCTTGCCTGGCCCACAAGCTTAAGGATTGATGCTTTGGTATGTGCTATAGTCTGCTGGTCCCTTAAAACAGGCTGCTGGGAATGCTTTTGATCTCTTCTAACTCACAGTATGGAGAAGAGAGCTCTGTGTTCCAGTGCAGCCCAACTGTTCATGCTGTGGCATATATTCCTCAGTCACCAGCTGGACTCACTGCAGGATAAAGGCTTTTTTAATCTGCAGTGCAAGACTTTGCTGTAAATTCCTTTAATCCCCTTTAACGAAAGTATGTCACATGGTGGGTGCTGCTGTCTCCTGGGTAATAAAACCTGTGGCTGCTGCTTAGTATGTTAGAGCATGTAGGAAGAGCAGTTCTATGCATTCTTTCAAATGGTTCCAGCAGGTCATTAGCTAAGTGTTTCAGAAGAATCTCTATTCTTTCTGTAGAGTCAACACAGGGTGCTTTCTTGTTTAGTCTTAGCAAAGCTGAACGTCACTGAAAATGAATTCTAATTCTCAGTTCCTTGATTTGCACCTGAATACACTGTTAGCTGAGCAGTCTTCACCTTTGATTTTGGCTTGTTTGGGCTTTTCTCTTCCTCTGCTGCCTTTGCAGATCATATTCACTTCCACAATGATTTGCAGCCTGATTCATTCACTTTTTCCCAGTCTTGCTAGAGTAAAATCACCCAGTATAATGAGTTTTATGGCAACTTCTTTTGTTGGACACATGGAACACTTGACCTTCTTCCATCAGTAACATTTTTCAGATATTTAGTATGTTCAGTATATTCATTATGTTTGCAGAATCAGAATGAATAACTTCATTTTTTTTTTTTTCCCCTATTTTCTGGGAAATTAGAAACAAAGAAAACTTGTCTCTTAAGACGTCCTTGATTTGTTAGTGTTTTACAATAGTTCAGATGGGAGCAGTATATAAATGCTGATGTATTGTTTCTAATACTGCACAAAGTATATGGGGATTATTGACCACTAAACATATAAAGGACTGTTTTATTTAAGTTTTGTAACTCTCTCCTCAGATTAACCTGAAAGACAACTTGGGGAAACTCTCTCATATCCTGGAAATAGACCACTTTGCTCTAGTGGTTCATGAACAAATTCAGTGTGAGTATGATGTACTGCACGTTGTAAGAGGTAATCTTTGAGTGGTAACAAGAAGCAAGAACAAGTGTAAGCGTGTAAATAAGTTCTGAAGAAGCCAAATCCTATTTCTGTGTTTGTAACTGTAGGCTACTAACACTTGTTAAGACACTAGCACTTTAATTCTTGTGGAGTAAATGTTAAATCCATTAATAACCTCACATACTGTAATGTAACTTGCTCCACAAGCAGGCACTGCTCGGAATGCAATGCCTGAGTTCCCTCCACTGTGCAGTGGCTTTGTCAGTAGCAGGAAGCCAATGAATAAGCTCCTGCACTGCTTCTTCCTACTCCTGTCAGACAGCTTCCAGCGGTTCCATCACAGTGAGCATCCCAGGTTAACTACACTTCAATTTTTTGTTTTTCTAAACCAAAACCTTTATTACAACTTCATAAAGTTTACTAAGATGTAGATGTCAACACTGATGTCACCATCTCAAGACAGCTTAATATTTTATTTTCCTGTTTATTTTGTTTAAACTAATGTACTCCCCTTCAAACTCTACTTTTCTTCATCCTTCTCAAAACTCTTTACACTGCCGCCTTTATGAACTGGAAGTTATTAAATAAATCTTCAGAGCTAGGGTATATCAGTGTTATATGTGAATAGTATTTTTTCCTGTTTTATCTTCCTTATACCAGGCAACTTGCAAAATTACAAACATTGAGAAACTAGACTAAAAAGAATATTAAGACTCACCAGATAAATTTATCTAACGACTGTCTTAATTATAACTGTAAATGAAAAATAGTCATCACATTTGGGCTTCTTCCTGATAATCTCCATAAGAATATGCTCTTGACTCTGTGCTGGCTATGTGTAAACCTAGAGTCTCACTGGAAGCTTGCAATGGAACAAAGATTGAGTAAATGAAAAGTCCAGGACAATCCAGCTGACTGAACAAACGGAGTATATAAGTAGGCTGAACATCTCAGTATAGCCAGGCTTTAGGAACAGGGAACTTAGACCACAGATAAAGGGCCAGAGGTCACTTGGCCACTTGGTTCCCAGGCCAAAGGCTTATGCTCACAATGAAAAAAACTGCTTGAACCTACACTCTCAATGCGGCAATGATTAGACAGTCAATACGGTTTTTGGATCTGAATGGGAAAATGTCATATTGTGGTGTTTTTTATACTAATTCTGTATCCAACAGTGGTGTAGGAAGATGGTAGTGTTGCTTGTCCCCCTCTAGTGGCCCCTGGTTCTACCGAGATAATATCAGTTTGCAGCTGTTTCAAGTAGAGCCACAGAAACTAATGTATGAGGAAAATGCACTTTATAACAGGATTTGGTTTGAATTTTCTCCTCAAGAAAAATAAATCTGATGGACCCTTATACCTCCTTCCATAATGTTTCAGTTTCTATATCCCTTTTGTTGAGGAGCCTTTCTGAAATGAAAATCCTTGCCACATCCCATGGGACTGTTGGTCAAGATGCCATTTGGGTCCTGGCTCAATGTACAAGAGTCATCGGTGATAACCAACTCCACCAACAGGCCCTGACACGTGGAACTGGGATGCCTTGGCACCTGCCTTTACAAACTGTGCCATTAAAACCAAGCAGGATGGTGTGGTTTTGTGCCTCCTAAAGCCAGAATCCCCTCTTTGTTTCTGTGTAGATCACACTGATGGTTCCTCCAGTAAGCGGCAAATGGTGTTTGGCATCGTTACAGCCATCGACCTGCTTAACTTTGTGACTGCACGAGAACGGGAAAGAAAGTCCAACTAAAGTCAAGTAGCAACATGGAGCCTCTTCAACAACATTTTGCAATCTCCAACAAAGAATCAGTTTTTTTCTTGGCTAGAATGGTCTGTCTTTAGGGTGTTGTGGGTTGGTTTTCTTTTTTTAAATTCTGAAAATAAGCAGTTAGCTATCCTGATGTCAGCTATACAGCCAGTGCATTTTGCTGTATTGCACAGCTTCTGGGGACTTGTTTCTTAATCAGGTTACACGATATGTCCTATCAAGACAATTTATTTTTTTACCTATATATATGTAAAAATATTGCTTAAATTAACTGGTATGTTCCTTACTTGTTATGTCTAAAGTCAGGCTTTCCAGAACATTGTTTCAGATTCATAAAATGTGTTGAAATAAAGAGTTACTGAAGCAGAGGCCCAAGAGAGCTCTGGAAAGTTTTGGATATTTTTTTTTTTTTTTTTTGTGCAAGGGTGTTAAGTTAGATAATACCTGTGTGGAGACAGAAGTGGGACACTGGGACATGGAGAGAAGAAAGGGGGGATTCTCTTTTGGTGACATTGGAGGAAATTCTGAGGGCTGGAATTGAGGCTTGTTTCAACCAGCTGCTCTGAGGAAAAACTGACTTGAGTGGAGGCCTGACAGTGAAGTGAGAAACATAAACTTGTGACTTTGTTTTACGCAGTGCACCAGCTTTCACTGCGAAGACAGGCCTTTTGTTTTTCCAATTGTACCCTGATAAGCACAAGTGAAAAGATTAAAAGGTAAGATCAAGCTTCTTGCCTGAAGGTTTTTGAAAATCACAGTTTCATCTAGTACCTTCCACTTACCTTCCCACCCTCTTATTTATCTTAAAGTGCTTCTTTTTCTGCCTGTTTTAGAAGAGCCAAATGTAATCTGTCAAGAGCTGTAAACTCTTTCAAGTTGTGTTCAAATGCTTCTACACTGTAGCGCCTTATTCCAGGAGAAAAATCCTACTGTTAATCGAATTCACTGTAGCCAAGCTTGGAAGTAACTGGCAAACGTGGTGTGGACTGGTACTGTCAAGAGTACACAAGGGTAATGTGCAGTAGGTGGGTGCAGCTACAACTTGTCACCACTTCTGTAACTCTGGATTCTTCAGTAATGTTTGACTTGTGTAGCTGTGGCACGGTTTGGCACTAGCAGCCCCGTCCGTACACTGCTGTGCTCAGGCTACCAACTGCTGTTAGTGGTAGTGATGAGTGAAATCACCCTGTGTTTACGGGAGAAGAGTAGCTGTTCTTCATCTTCATAAAGTCTGCTCTAATCATCTTCTGACTGGCCTTTTGCCTAGAATAAAGTTTTTGATCAGCAAGAGTGACACTTTTTCAATGAAGTAAAAAAAATACTATTTAGGCTGGGGCTGTTGCTGGTAGGATAGCAAAGTTGTTGGGTTTTGTTTGTTTTTAAAAAAGAAAAAGGCTGAAGGGAGTTGTGAGTCAGCTAAGAGAAAACAACGAGGTTATTTAAAAATCACAGTTACTACCTCCTGTATATAGATTTCTTTCTACCTTGCTGGTCTCCCTGTGGCAGTGGAATTTGCTGTGCATTTTGGAAGTTCATAGTCAGAGGAGAGAGGTGGTGGAAGGCGCCTTGTCCCATGTCAGCGCTGAGCAAAGAACATCAAGCCGAGCCTTTGCAGTTGTGCCTTGGGTAATACTGGCCTGGAGGAGGGAGGCAAGAGCTCAAAGCCAAAGAGGTGACGCCGGCGCTAGTGTCTGCCTGCCAGTGGTGACACAGCCTGGTTTGTTTTCTAGCTGCTTCTCTCTCACCTTAAATTTGTGAATGTTAAGAACTTTGTTGTAATAATAAAAAGCCTCAGACCAATTTCTAATAGCTCTTTAATGCCATGCTGGTGAATGTTAAGTTTATTGTGCTCCTGTTCACTTTATTTCCTTAGACATTGGCTGTCCCTTCAGATTAGGGCTATTACTGAAGTAACATGACCCATACTTACCTTAAACTATGGTTTAACCATTAAATTCATATACTTCCTTAAGATTTAAGACAGCTTTTCCCAAGGCTCTGGAGTATACTATAAAGTCTAAAAATGTGCAACTTCAATAATAATCGTTCTAAAGGATTGTAGATTTTTTTAATTTTTTATTTTTATTTATTACCCTTATGCTGAGCAGTGATTTCTTTCTCACTGTTCCCCCTCACTGTAGCAGCAACCCCAGCTTGGGTGCTCTAAGTAGAGGAAAGTTGAACTAGTGTGTGTATCAGATGTGTGTACCTATATGTGAAGACACTGTTTTCAAATCTGTGTTAACTTTTCTAGGCTGAACAGCTCCTCTGTTGCTGCTTGGCAGAGCCTAATAACTTATCTTTCAAACTGTATTTTTGAGCTACTTCCTGAGGGGTCATAAATAACTTAGCACAGTTACGGGCATGGTCTTTGATCTTAGCGCTGGTAACATCCTTGGTGTTTCTTAGTGTAGAGGGAGTCTGTGAATGGTCAGTTGTACCCCTCGAAACGTCCGTATTTCAGCCAAGGTTCTAAACTCCTTTCCCAATTATTTCAAATACTGTTGTTGGATATATTTTCATATCTATTCTTAATTTACAGGGAAGGCTGAGAGAGACTTAGTTCTTTGATTACTTACATTTTCACTGCATCCTTTGATTCCCACACTTGTGAAAGAACCTGTTTACTTCACTAGATGCTACCAACTGAAATGTTTGCTGCAATTATAGCCGTTGCTGCTGCTAAATTTTGGCATTACTGTTGCTCTTGAAAATTTACTTTACTTGCTTTTTATCTGACAGTTTGTTTGTTTATGTTTTGTTTTTTTTTCCCCCATTTGCCGTCTGACCTTCACTGACAGCAGCAGGGAGAGGGGTGCTTAAGTAGTTGTTTGTGTTTTTTTTTTTTTTTTCCCTTTTCTTTTTGTGCCTGTGAAAGCTCCATGTCCCAACCTAACTGAATTCAGCAAGAAATATGAGGAGGGTAGAAGGAGGTTCCCAAAGTTGCTTTTCAGAACAGCAGTGCAAGAGAGAAGTTAGAGTTGGGGCAGCAGTTTAATGGGTGCCTTTACCTGTGACACAGAGAAAAATGTAAAGATTTTAATTTATTTTTAGTTTACTGTTCATACATTAATTTCTGTCGCATCATGAAAACAGGTAGTATTGCTGACTAAGAAAGAAGGGATGGTTAGAGCTGGTTGGGAACAGGGCATGTGAGTCTAAAGCAATCCCGAGCAAGCCAAAGTATCCAAAGAAATCTACCCGCACCGCTCTGCCTGTGCCGTTTGTTAAGAGCAGGAGCTGTCTCCTGTTCTACAGCAGCACAAGGAGGAAAAGGTGTCCACCAGCCACTCTTATTCCCAGTAGCAAACCTGTTTGACCAGAGGAATTGGATAAATAAATGGAGTTGCTGAATGACTGAAAAACTTTCCAGAGCTCTTTCCCATAGTAGGGATGAAGGCAGCAAAGAGAAGGGGACAGGGAGTCCTGTGGGGTTGAAGTTCCTCTGATATGAAAGCTTATGAGCGTGATGCTTTTTTACATGTGTGAGAATGTTGTGAGTAGCCTGGCCCTGGTTAGTAGCAGTAGGGCTGTATTAGCGCTGGACTCGTCTCTGTTTCAAATACTGTGAGGACCAAGAAAGACATTGCCGTTTGTTTGGTTGGTCTTTAGCTGGAAGTTCAAGTCCAGAGCTTGAACAGAACTGTGTTTTTTTTTTCTGAAGTGGGTGCCTGCATCTTCTGTTCACTTGTGCTGGTTATGCAAGTGCTGACTAAGCCTGAAAACTATTTTGCACATGGATATTTATATCAACAATTATGCTGTGTTTGTCACTATCAGAAAATATCAATCTTTTTGTTCTAATGTTGGCTCTGCAAAAATACTTTTAGTTTCTCACCTGAAGACAATTGTCCAGTAAAATCTCTATAATATTTTGCAAGCAGCTATTGGGCAGTGACTTAAGGATCATTTTGAAGTTGTCGCGTTCAATGTTATTTCCCACTTCTTGCACAAGCTGTGGCTGACACCAGAACTCTTGTCTAGCTGAGGTTCCTCTAAGCAGCCAGGCCAGTCTCATCTGCCCACCAAGTTCTTAGCTAAGTGGTTTCTGAAAACTTCTGCTTGCCGTTAGGAATTTCACACAACATGCTCGCTGTCAGGAGTTGCCTAGCATTGCCGCTGTCATCCAACAGCCTTTCTTACTGCGTAGTGTCAACACGCTACCATGACAAAGGGAAGACTTCTTATGCTTTAAGGAGCTGGGAAAAATCAATACTGTGCACTGTATTTATCATACAAATGTTCACGAATGTACTATATAAAGAGTTCAATAAAAGCTGTTTGACTGCAGAATGGCTCTGGGTTTGTTAATGGCAGTTCAAGTTGATAGTGTGTTTAGACTGTAGACTGAGAGAAATTTCTGTTTGCTGCAGAAGACCTTTTGCTTCCCACGTGTGGACTTGCAAGGCTGCAGTTCTGTTCCTCTGTCTGCCGGTACGGCAGGACTGTTGGTGAGCCGGTGCACTGCCTGCTTCTCGTGGCTGGCTTCAGTTCAATCCTGGTGTTTCTGTACAGGGTAGGAAAGGAAGGATGTAGCGCTTGGGGCTCGGATGTCACTCTTGAAGTTCCTACAGCACCAGGTGCCCGTGCGGTCAGGTGGATGGGTATTTCTGAATAAATGCAAGGGGTACAGGGCAGCCCATGTTTCTGTGAGCAGGCAATATCTGGGGAATTATGGTGAAGCTGTAAGGTTAAGAGGTGTGTGAATTCAGGTGAGGTGCGAGGGTGTTGTTCTGTGGATAAGGAGCAGCTGGGAGAAACAGAAGGGGCTGGCTGTGTTATTTCAGAGCTGCGTATCTGTGCTGTTGCTCGGTGTCTTGGTCGGTTGGTCAAGCTAAACCACAATGAAGGTGGCTTGTATCTGCTAGGCGAGTGAGTAAACCCTACATCCCTTGGGGTGTTTTGGTCCCCATTTCCTTATGCGGTCAGTCCTTGCTCAGCCTCATCCAAATAGCTTAGGACCCTGTTGGCCAGTCTCATCGGGATGTTGTTCG